GCTAAAGATTCGCTGCCCCTATCCCGAATGGTATGATTGTTGTGCTTTTTAACTATGTCTTGTTCTGTGTTCTTGTTAAACTGTTTGTATCCCCCTTCCCTTTTTGAGCTGTGAGCCGCCCTGAGTCCCCTTAGGGAAAAGGGCGGCATACAAATGAAATAAAACTCAAACTCAAACTCAGATTGATCCATCTCGCCCAGCTCTGCTGCAGCGGCTTTGCTGCCCACCATTTTAAGTTCAAAATCCAAATTGATATGTATCTGGGTTGGGTTTATTCTGATGTACAGCCAGATGACGCGGCTACGTCAAATATAGGTAAGCCTTATGTGCGTATTGCAGTGGAGTAAAAAGACTTCCTGGAATTTCAGCTTGATTCCTGATGTCTGATATGGACATATCTATACAGTGTTTTTGACAGCAGTAGGCAAATGACTTGTCATTGCCTCCTTCTAGATGTGTTACTGATGTGTTCACAATCTAGCCTTCAGCCTGGTATTTACCTTAGGCGCCCATTCAAGTGTTAACCAGACCTGCAACATGGAAAAGTCACATTGAAGGATCACAAAATCCTGACATGTACCATGTTCTCCTCAATTTCTCTGTGCTAGTTGCTTACTTGACCCTGCAGAAACAGGTCAATGTCAAGCATTTGACAAGCTGTAATATATAGTTACTGTTTACCGGGGTGACTCATAGTGTTGCAGTCAAGACAGCATATTAGCAGAAATATCCATCAATCTTGGCTCAAGTCCTCCTTGTCTTTTATTTTCACTGTTCCGCTCCTCCTCCTTTTCCCATGCATGGCTATGTTTCTGCAACACCCTGAACCAATAAACTAGCCAACCACATTTTAATGTGGTAGGCAAATAATCCCACATGGGATTAGTTTATGGTTCAATGCAGCCTTGGGGTCACTGAGAAAACCGTGCTTAACACCTATCATATGAAGGCAGCCATAACATTTCTTTCAAATCTAAGCTTTTTGGCAAAAACCATATTTAAGTTTGTTTCCGGTGTATAGCATGGAATCGGTACTTGATGAATATTTATTACCAACTAACGAATAACCGCAGGAACCTGCTTAGGCAGCTGCCAGGACTCAACACTGACTAGAAGGCACAAAAAAATGTATATACACTCACTATAAAGTTGATGAGCAACTTTACCCGTAGGTGAAATATCTACATTCTGAGACTATAGGAATTTAATTTAACCAAAGTATGTTTATTTNTGCTGTATATAGCAAAATATACCAATGAAGAAAATAAGAAATGAAAATTTGCTGGGGCAATTGAAGATATTGTTTATGCATTAAGAAAAAATAACTATAAATATGAAAAATAATGGAAGAGAATAATTTGACTGAAAGTGAAAATAAAACTATTATACTATAACATAAAAAGGGCTATGTAATTGAAAGGATGTAAAACAAAAGACCCAGACAACTCTTCTTTTCTATAATATGTATAATTTGTTTTAAAAAATAAAAAACCTTGAATGAAAAAAAAAATAAAAAAATGAAAAGAGCAGGAACCGGGCCTGCTGGAAGAAGGGCAGGAGGGGATGGACAAGATGGTTCAGGAAAGTTCAGTGTTTAGAGGAAGATGGAGTGACTTACCTAAATGGCTCCAGCAGGACAGGCTGAGAGACAGGCAAGTGAGGAAAAGAGCAGAGAGAAGAATGAGTAGAGAGAAACATACAACATTGGCAGACTAAATAGAGAGGTTTTCTCATCTTCATCAATAGGATAGCCAGAGATTACCCTTGTCCTTGAACTGTCAGGGCCATCATTCAGACTGCACTAGTAAGTGGTAACTATGCACAAACTGCACAGGTACAAGCTACCTGCCCAACAAATGTCACTAAGCAGGTGTGCATATGAAATACCTCAGGCATGATGGCGGCTCCCAGACAGTGCATATTGTAGAGGGTGTCTCTCTCCTGTTGGATGTTGGCATGTTGGATGAGCTTTGTGAGGTTCTCCTCGTTAATGCCTAAGTGAAAGAAATGAAAGTTGAGTCATTCAAAATATAACCTTTGCCTTTTATTGTATTATCCCCTGCTGTTGCCACATCAATCACCCACACTTTATTTTTCTCAACCGCTGCTAAATCTGGTGTGTTATGCTCCAAGGCTTTATCAGTTTGCATTTCAACTTGCTCTATGCAACTAATTTTTTCAACTCAATGTTCCCACCAATTATTACAGGTGCTCTAGTGAATCTTTTTGTGAATCTATTTCTTCTGCTTCTTAGCAGAATCTGCATTTTTCGGTTGTAAGTCATCACACTGGAACTCCTAGGCTCCTGGTTTCTAGGCTAGCAGTTCTCTCCATTTCTGCTGCTATTTCAGTTTTCTTCACCCAGGAGTGGAAGTGGATAAGCACTAACCATGAGTCTGATTGTGCTACTATGGATTTTTATGCTTTTTAAAAAATATGTTGTGTAGAAACAAAAATTTAAAACGAAAGCAAGGACCTTCTTTTCTGTAGTGGTTCAGAGGATTATAAAATGACAGTTGAGACAACCACCTGAGACATATGAGTTTGATGTAGTTAGTCATAGAAGGGGCTTAACGCCTCCTAGGAGACAGATGTAACACCTAGCAGTGCTGTGTAAATATGGCATCTGGGTATGGACAAGAAGCATCCTGAAATTTCTCTTCCTTTTGGTCCTTGCAGGGGACCTTTCCCTAACCTAGGCAGCTGAGAGAGAAGTTATCCAGCAACGGTACCATTCTGGAGAAGTATGCAAAGCAGGATAATGCGAATTTTATCAAATGCCTGCACACTGGTATCAAGGACAATTGGCACGATACTCTTCATAGGGTTCTTGATTTTCTCCCCTTCAGCATCTGCCCCTGTGGCCAGGTCCTGTGATGAGGGAGAAAAGATGCCCATCAGAATCGATCCTTTTCACCAGGGAAGAGAAGGAGAGACACCCAAAGTAGGTTGTATTTCACCGTGAATACACAAGAGTTGGGCTGTGATGGCCGTTCTCTCTTGCTCTCACCTCTCCTAAATTCATAATGTGCCTACCTGCTCCACGCTGCACAGCTTCTCTATGGTGCCCTTAAAGCTATTCATACAGTCTTCAGCCAGATGCAAATGGGTGGAATACTGCAGGATGAAAGAGGATGATAAACAGTGGGCTTTTTTTGCCAGCATTGAAGTTTTCCCCTACTGTTCCTCCAATGAACAAAACAGTTGCCTGTAGACAATGAGCAAGGCAAGATCCAAGGGACTTCTGAAAAAATAGCCACATTCTGCAGTAGCTAGAAATGCCACAATCAATAAAAGTTATACAAATGAAATTAAGCTGGTCCCTGTGATTATTCTGCACAATCTGTCCTGCTTGTCCTTCTGGCAGTGCAATGGCCCCAGCCCTGACTACCCAATCTCCTTTACAGCTTTGGAAGACTGGCTGAAGAGCTTGAGAGTTTCTGGCAATTATACACCCATCTTAACAACCGGAAACCTGGCTATTTAGCGAGAGAGAGAGATGAGAGTTTCAGGGTATCTCTGAGGCAAAGATTTTGGTTCAGCATAGTATGTGGAAAATGACGATTTTGAAGACAACACAAAATGAGAGATATCTTTCTCACAACCAAATATAATTCTCAAAAAAACCCCTCAGCTAGCTTCCATGGAAGCCCAAGGAAGAAGCAGAAGTTTGGTGCAGAACATTCAGAAAGTATGAGAATAGTGGCAAGATGGGATCGGCTAAGATTTGTGGAAGTCGTAACAATGGGCATTGCAGTCTTTTGGAGCTGTCATATTATAAGGTACTGTATACAATCCAAGTCCTGCCTCAACTCTCCTAGAGCTTAAATTTAGCCAGGCCATTTAGATACACATGGATGGGTGAAGGAATTAAACTTTTGGGTTTAGAAGTTGTAAACGCGTACATTTTTCTACAGGTTTGCAGATAAAGAACTGGGAAGACTGTACCATGTCAGCTGAAGTCAAAGAGCCAGAAGGCAGGGTGAGGCAAACATTCTTACTGCTGGAAAAATTAGATCTCTATATCTCTTAATGTGGAAAAGCTTTTTTTTCTGCTATTGGATTAGCTGCATGAATGAGAAATATATTAGCTCAGCAAATTAAACATAGATGAACATGTCCAGATCTGATTTTGTGGACATGCCTCCAGTTGCTTTTATTCAGCCTTTTAGTGTCAGATTTAAAGACATTTTAGAACATGAAACAATTTGCACTGTCGGTGTACTCTAATTTATGCTAATTGATAGTGGGTGATTATAAGATTGACTTATTTTAAATCACTTATATAACTGACTGCAGCACAAAAATAATTAAGTACATTTTGCAGCTTTTACCTTGTGAAGTTCTTTCTGGTATTGAGGCATCTTCTTCAGGATCTGAGAGAGATCTTTAATGTTAGCCTAGAAAGAAAAACAGCCATTGCCCTTTACAAACTCAACATAAAGGTAATCCAAGTGATAGTAAAATTTCAGATAAAAGCAACTCTCTCATCTTATAACAGCTCCCTTCAACCTGACTGAGTGAGCTCCTAATACTCCTAGATAACTCTGGATTTAGCCCAAAGATATTCACAGGGCATCCAGGTTGATGAAAGCTGTTTTACAAGACCTACAGGCTGATGGTTCTTCTATTTTTCTACGTTTGGCTAAGTAAGCTCTAAATTTCTAGAGCAGTCACTCAAGATGCGTGAAGAAACTCCATGTTAAAACTTCAAAGAATGGAAATAAGTCATTTTGTCTGGAATTTCTGTTTGGATGAAGGCTCTATGGGGGAACATCAGTCTCTATCCTTTGCTGCCTCTTATTCTCCCAAATGAATTCAATGTCACTTTTGTTGCTCTGCCTGAAGATTCCTCATCTTGGTGTACCCAAAAACCTTCCCGTTTTTGCACCCTCTGTACCTCTCGACCTTTCTTGGGCATTGTGCACATAACTGAGTTTTCAAAACGTTGCCCAGAATAAATGAGACCTAGTTAAGTAAGGTTGATTTTCCTCCCTGATAAACCAAACAGCAGTCGGATGTTTCTTTCACTGTCAAGTAACTTGAACCAAAGAAGCCTGGCTTGCAAGATATAGAATGCAAGCTCCCCCCACCCCCCAGCATGTCTTTCAGGAAAGCAAATCACAGCTAAGACGAGGCTCTGGCCATCCTACCTTATCTGTGGTGAGCCTTTTGCTTTCACAGAAGGTACGCAGGAGCTCAGTCACTTTCCTGTGGAAGGAGGTCACATTCAGGGCCAAATACAAACATCCTAAAAGTGCAACTCTCCACCTCTCCCACAACAATGGACTCTGTGCAGTCTTCAAAGTTCAGGGCTCTCTGCACCAGAAATGGCAGCAATTCTGGAACAGAGGGTAATGGTGGAAGAAACATCCCTCCCCCCACCCCGCCTCCACCCTTTACAATGGACACCAATGGCAACCCAGACCAATTTAGAAAGAAGGGCTCCAGCAGGGTTATATCACTCCAGCCAATTATCGTTCTGGCTGATTCACAAACCCATCAGGCAGACAGTTGTATGTAGGGCTGCGTAGATGGGTAGGGTCTCACTTGGATACGTCTGCGATGTGCATGTGGCGTAATTGCACCCAGAGGTCATCGTCCTCATCCAAGAGTACTACCTTTTCCCTGGAGTCACTGATGCCTGTGGATTCATACCTGAAGGAAGGCAACAGAGTAATATTCTGTAAGAAACTTATGGTTGCTCTCTAAGTGGGAAGGCACAGAATTCTTTTATTCCCTTACTCATTCTTCACCCCCACAATAGCTCTCACCGGTAAGTATCGCTGTCAATGTTGAGCAAGTCATAGGCCATGGCTTGAAAGGTGAGCTCATGAAGAAGTGGTGACACCAGATCATAGCTGCGGTCAACTATCAGAAGCTGTGATCGAGATTTGTCAGGGCCCTGAAAGCAGCAAAAAGGGGAAGACAAAAAAAATAAAATACTTCTTTGTGATTTTGGTCTGTGTGTTATGTTGCATCCTTCCCTGCTAAATGGAGTCCTTAGGCGTGGTCATCCACAGGACACACCCTGCATCTTATGAAATGTATGAACCATGGCAAGATTGATTTAATCTGTAATCCTATTTGGAAATAAATTCCGCCAAGCTCAGTGGGCCTGAGTAAATAAAAAGACTGTCACAGAGCTGCGCTGCTAATTATTTAATAGCAGCCCTGCTACAGGCACTAAAGAAGAGTGGAGCAGCTGAACAGTGCAGATCCAATCTCCCCTCCAAACATTGTTGACTATGTGCAGCCTCTCTAATCATCCCTAGACTGGTCAAACATGTATTATTCAAGCAATGCAAAACCTCTTCCAAGTCTAAATTGCGTCTATTGCTTTGCCCTGATCGAGATGTGTAGTCCATATGTTTTTGCATTGTATTTGTAGTTGTATATTACAGGATTTTTTTCGGAAAGCAAATTGTTTATTGGAGAGTAGGTTGTTTGTCTCTAGGTGGAGGGTTATAGATTGGTTAATGAATGATTCCATGACTCTGCAGATGATGCAACATAAAGAGATTGGTCTGTAATTTTCAACTAGGCTGGGCTCTCCCTTTTTAAAGATAGGGGTGACTGTGGCTTGTGACCATTGCTTGGGCAGGTAGCTGATACTGAAAGATTTTTCAAAAATTATGCTTAAGAGGTCCTGCTATTCCAGTGGAAAGGTTTTTTTTTAAGAAGTAGGCACATAGTCCATCAGGTCCAATAGATAGCGATGGTTTTAGACTGCGTATTGAAGTAAATACCCACACAAGCATAGTGAACTTATACTTGTGATACTCTGCAAGCAACAAAAGAGGCAAGCTAGAGGCTATTAATTCTCTGTAGTGCAGATTTGAAACAAGTCCTTTAGATTCTACCTGGACATCGCACCATGTCCACTATATCTTTAACTGACCTAATAATGTCCTGAGTTTTGAGGGTACTTTATGATGACTGGGAGAGGATGGCAGGAGAACCCAGTTTTAGCTAAATGCTACCAGCTGTTTAACATCTAGTTAAAACATTTACAAAGGCAGCAGCAAGAGCATCATTGTTACCGAGACACTTTCAGCATGCCCAAGACTATCCAAAACAGTTGTAGGACTGCTGGCCCACTCTTTGGTGCTGGAGTACAATGCAATACATCATTTAGCCTGCAGGTGGCATGCAAATACACTATAAAGGCCTATGGACATTTATCTTTTTTTCAGTTAGTAGCACTCCAGATGTACAGGGCGGGGCATAACCTTTTCCTAGGGGGTCACAGCAACACTTGTAATAACAACACAAATAATTCATACACCATTCGAAAGCCCATCAAAAACTGAGTTTATTGACACGATTTAATAGTCAGTATGACCACCATTAGCCCTTCGAACAGCATTCAAACGAGGTGGATAAGAACACAACAAATCTTCAAACAGTTCCGTTCGATTTTCCAGATTTTTCAACACAGTTTCCAAATTCATTCTCAAAGTTTCAACCGAAACAAATTTAACATTTAATAGCTCATTCAATTCAGTTTTTTATGGGCTTTAAAATGAGGTGTCGCGGAAGTTGTAAACTGCTGTCGATCTTGCTGTGACCCCCTAGGAAAAGGTTATGCCCCGCCCTGTAGGTTAGAGCAGCCCTTTCTAAACAAATGTTCGCTGGTTATCTTGGAACTGCACAATCTCAGAAATCTCAATCACATAGCTACTAGCAGGGGAAGCTAACATATCCAAGCACTACTGACACAGAAAGATAAATAGCATCCTTTTTCATGCATTCAGGAGTTTAATGACTACTCAATAAAAACACATGCATGGGCTGTAAAAATGCGTCTTATAAGCAAGTGTCTCAAAATTGCTTGTTATAGATAAATCAACATCAAACGACTATCTCTTTCTTAAAGCAAAAAGCAGTGCTTCCTCCTATTCGGAAGTAACGCACTCCCAGGTTTCTAGATAGAGTTCTGTTATGAAGTCACCTTGCCTTATACATAGAATTTTGCAGTGGTTGGGTTTTTACACAATAATGTCCTGTGTTTGCTTTTCCTTGTTTTATTGGCAGGCCTAAAGGTGCTTTTTCAAGAAGCCACTGGACTTTCTTGTTTTTCTGTAAAGATGAAAACTGAAGAAGCTTCTTGGATAAGAAGCGAAATGTCTTCGAAGAAGAAAAACAACAACAAAAAGATTTAAGCCCAATTGCCTCTTGAAAAAACACCTTTTGGACAACTATGATCTGGATGACTGAGAATCTCCAGAGACAATTGGATTGGCAGAAATCAATCAGACATTCTCCTGTTTCATTTTGGTTTCTTAAGTCATATAGTCCAACTACATTTTCTTTCTTGATATTTCCAGTTTTGGCATTCTAGTCTCCAATCACAAGCAGCACATTCAAACTGAACTTGACCATCAAATTATGCTTCTACATCAGTCAGTGGAGCACACATTAGGATAAATGTCAAACTAAAAGTCTAACTGATGTTACTGTCCACAAATCAAACTGATATATTTGATTGTAGCCAAGTACTGTTCTTGCTATACCTTTCCTAACTATAAAAGCAGTTTCCAGCCCTGTTTTTCATGTCTTTAGTAGCAAACAGTGTGATCCTCTGACTCAAAATGTGGACTTCTAGTCCGTTTGCTGTTGCCCATGATGTCATTTTGTAGTAGTTTTACTTTTTCACTGTTGTTGAGCTTTTTCATGTTCTTACGCTTCATGTCCCCACCATAATTCTGTCTCTGCGGCATTGAATTTTCTTTACTTCCACTTAAATACGCTGTTTATAATCAAGGATAGTACCATGTTTCCCCAAAAACAAGACAGGGTCTTATTTTCTTTTGACCCCCAGAAATAAGCACTTGGCCTTATTTTCGGGGAGGTCTTATTATTTTTGAGATGCAAGAAGCAGTGAGGGTGGTCACCTCATGGCTGCTGTGTTGCAATATTTTCGGGAGGGCTTATTTTCAAAGAAGGGCTTATTTTCGCACATGCACTCAAAAGCCTGATTGGGCTTATTATCCGGGGAGGTCTTATTTTCAGGGAAGCAGGGTATTTGGAAGAAAGATTCTTCCAACTCTTCTTGAGAGAGTAGTTTCTTCCTAGAGATGAGAGGCTAGAAAATGGTCCATTTCTACACCCAACCTCTTCATTCTTAAATCCGTCACTAAGTGACACAACAGTCTTTGCTATCTTGTTCCATCCACTGGCCTGCTCTTTGACATTCTGGGATACTCTTGGATTGCTCACCTCTCCCATGGTTGGGTTGTCTGCTTTGAAGGCATTCAGCTTTGCCAACACTGCATGGGCCAATAGGCAACACTCTTCAGAACCACTGCAACCACAAACACATCGTTATTTAGAAACAGGGCTTCTGGCATTCTGGAAGGGAGACCAAGGGAGACAAATGCCTGGACAAAGTAAAGAGTGATTTGTCTCTTGCATTTCTTGGCCTACTTTCTTATACACATATACTGTAAGAAAATTTGCTTTCAATCCCTGGCAGCAGAGATGTGTCCAGGGGGCTCAATTGATGAAACAATGTCTCACACATGATTAAAGCATCAGATCCTGCAGATGAGCTGGTCTGGCAGCAAACATTTATTATAAGAAGTAGGCCAGTCCCTGTCTGAATCAACTAAAAGTAGCAGGATGCTTCATTGCATAATGGACAGATGTGGCCTCCCAATATGCTCCAGAATTGCACCCTAAAGTTGTCAAGTATTACACCCCAATTTGTTCTCATTCTCTTTATATAGTTTTAAACAGAGCACTGGTAGAATATCAATTCTTTCCCCCCTCCCTCTTCCCTTTGTACTAACTTTCTATAGCGAATTGAGGGGTATTCCTTGAGGGTGTCACACAGTGTGGCAATCTGCTCTGCCATCTTCTCTAAGTGGTTGTTTTTATCTTCCCTGCAGTAGGGGCTAAAGAGATGATGGAAACTTTGAGCACTGTCCAAGGTATACACCTGAAGAGAAGAAAGGAGGAGAGAAGAAATGGGGGAAAAATGGGAGTGTTATATTAGTGATCTATGAGAAATGCAGTGTAAATACAGTGTTCTGGTAACTTTTTTTTCACAATAGTGGTGTCCTTCCTTAAAAATAGTCTGTTCCTCCAGGAACCACTTGCCCTGAATTGACCCTTGTCCTGCATTTGTCAGGATACTATTACCTTAGATGTCACTCCTCTAGACATAGTTTCCTCATTCAGAACTTCAAGCCATCATACTACCGGTAGGACCAGAGTTAATGGTTATTTGAAAATTCTGGATGTACAACACTTCATTAAATGCTGCCAGTTTCTTGGCTCTGCGAACTTTGCAATTAACATTGTGTATTATGGTTCATCTAATCTTAAAAGAATCTTGAAGTTTTAAGAACTTTCTTGCTTGCTGTCTTAAGAGTAATCAAAATGCTGAGTGGGCAGAGGGTAATTTGATAGAAAAAGATGGGAAAAATGGGTGTACGATCACAGACGTTTTAAAATAGTTTTTAAAATTCCGCCTTTTTTATAAATTACTCAAGGTGGTGAAGATACCTAATGCTATTTCCTTCTATTTTCCACAGAACAACAACCATGTGAGATGGACTGAGAGAGAGTGACAGGTCTAAAGTCACCAAGCCAGTTTTCATGCCTAAGGCAGAAGATTAGAACTCATGGTTTCCTATTTTCTACTGTTGTAGTGCCTCAACCATTAGACCAACCTGGCTCTCAAGCAGGCTAGTTATAAATTCAATAGCTAATTCATAAGAAAGAAAAAAGAAAATAATTCTCTCTATTCAAATACATGACAATAAGCTGTGGGCTACTTGACTTACGATAGAAGTGAATGTAATAGACACAACTGATCAAGAAGACTGACAAAAAAACCCATTCTCAACACTTGGGTCCACCAAGTCTTTTGCTCAAATTGAAAACTGGGAAGATTACAGATTTTCTTTTAGAACTCCTACTGGAATTTCATGTAATATATATAAGCATTACATGAATCCAATGTATTGATGATTCTTGTCACTTACTAGTAGATTCTCATAATGATCTCATAATATAGTCGATTTTCACAATGCCTATCTAAATTGACATTACAATTCCAAATCCTCGTCACTAACCATGTTGATGCCAGTTGGAATCCAAAACAATGGAAGGGACCAGGATGTCTACATGTAATCTCCATAATTTCACAGGCTCTGTCCTCAAATTCTAAAGATAAAGAATTTCCCCTAACCAGTCCTGTTGGACTCTAGAGGGCGATGCTCATCTCCATTTCTTAGCAGAGGGAGCCAGCCTTGTCCAAAGATGGTTCCGTGGTCACATGGCCAACATGACATCACATTGCAGAGCAGAACATGCAACAAAAGTGGAACAGTTACCTTCCCATTGAAGTGGTACCTATTTATCTACTTGCATTTTCATGCTTTCAAACTGTTAAGTGGGCAGGAGCTGTGGCACGTATGGGCGCTTCACCTGTCACACAGTGTTCAGATCTTGAAACCCGGCTATTAGCTTTCCAGCTGACAATCTTGGCTTCTTAATCACTGAGCCATTGTACCTCCCTCCCCCTTAAGTTCCATAGACCCTTAAAAGAAGCTCTGCTTCTTTTCTTCTGCAAGGATTTTAGTGATGGCTAGTAGCTCAATATAATTATTTTTATTAAAAGTGAAATCTGTCAAAGCAAAAGTGTTAATTCATTTATCCTTACAACCTTGAGATTATAGTGATAATTAGAGGCCACTGCTCTGTTCCCTTTTCCACCTCACCTGTGATTCATAGGGAAGGAAGGCAACATTGATCTCCTTGAGTGTCTTGATTGCTTTTGTTATCCGGGACTTGCTAAGCTCATTAAAGAGGTCATCTGGGCAGGCTGAAAGACAAGGGTGGGAGTTAATGTTCACCATCCTCCAGATGTACCATTCATTTTACTGAAAGTTTTTTTTATGGTTATAGGTCAACCCCAGAAACACTTTTAAGTACACTTAAAACTTCCTAAGTGCCTCAGAATAGAAATGTACTTTTGAGCCCTCTTGGTCAGATTCTTCTCTGGGATCTAGCACAATTCATAATCTCAGTGAAACAGGTTCATGAACCACACTAGGACATAATTTTTTTTCTGTTGGATGTAATGTGTTAGATGAATCTAGCCATTATGGTGTGCAAAACATGGTTTACCTCTCAACAGAATTCATGAACCAAATAATTTATTCATCAAATCATGAGTCTGTAGAGATTCTCAGTCATCCAGGTCATGGTTGTCCCAAAGGTGCTTTTTCAGGAGGGAACAGGACTGCCTTGTTTTTTCTTTCGAAGACATTTTGCTTCTCATCCAAGAAGCTTCTTCAGCTCCGACACTCCCCACTATCCTGTCAAAGGTGAAGAAGCTTCTTGGATGAGAAGCAAAACATCTTTGGGGGAAAAAGCCAAACAAGAAAGTCCAGTTGCCTCCTGAAAAAGCACCTTTGGGTCATCAAATCATAGTTAAACAAATTATGGCTTAACATGAATTGTACAATTTTGAATCAAATAGATAAAATGCATCAACTATGGATTAGAGAGCCCAGTTTGGGATGGTAGTTAAAGCATGAGGCTAGAAACTAGGAGACTGAATACTAGTTCCACCTTGGGCACAAAGCCAACTGGGTGAACTTGGACCATTCTCTTTCTTTCAGACCCAGGATGGAGGGAATGACAAACCACTTCTGAAAAACCACATGAAGAAACTGCAGGGACTTGTCCAGGCAGCCTCTGAGCATCCAACATGATTAAATGGAAGGGGAAAAAACCTCCCTAGGCCCATACAGCTTTGCTATTATATCTCAAGCAATTGCATAAAAGCCCTTTGATTCATAGTAAAAAATAATAAATTACAAGGAAACACTTAAGATTAGCTAAGTCTCTCTTCAGTTGCTTTTATTCTTCTTCTTTTTTTTTTGCAATTTCCTTCTGTATAACATTTCCACCTGGGTAAACACCCATTGTAAATGTACTTCTCCCCCCTTATTTCAGTTTCTCTTTATTATACATATGATACTATTATATACAGTCCTTAATTTATAATCCTTTCCATTTATACATGTTTATCTCTGTTTATCTCTATCTATACAATGTTAATTTCTAACTCCTGTATCTTCTTCATTTAGTCTTTCCTTAAGTTTTACACCTGTCCTCTAGCCATTTGTACCATTCATTCCATACCATATAATATTCTGTTTCCTCCTTTTCTTTGATTTCTTTTGTAAATTTGTCCATCTCTGCACACTCTAACACTTTCATTATAACATTCCCTTTTGTTGGTATATTATTATTCTTCCAATCTTGTGCATATGCTATTCTTGCTGCCGTTATGCTATGTATAATTTTATATTTTTTCCATAATTCCTTGTTGCTTTTATTCTTCATTAACCCAGCTTCCAATAAATGTTATCCCAGGATCCCCCAATCTAGAAGACACCAAGTTAGTAAAGACAGTCCTACACATCTTCTTGTTTGCCTGAGAACATTCCTTGAACTTACTGTCCGTGAAGAAGACGTGGGCAGCCTTGTAGGTGAATGTGGGAGTGCTTTTAAAGTCATTTATCAGAGCACGGACAGACTGCAAATGGAGAACAGGCTGTTAGCAGCAGTTGCACAAATCCCAAACATTTTCTACTAACTCCCACATCTTGACCCTCCAGTTATACTAACCACCCTTAATCATAGTGATCTCTGGGTGGATAATATTCCTCTTCAGACTTCAGGGAAATCGAAAGCATTTGCCTTTGTTCTTCCCAACTTTTTTTTTCCTTTCCAAGGAGTTGGCAGAAAACTCTAATTAGTAGCCTAAGTATCTGTGGAAATTTGACAAGATATATCTAAGGAGGCATTCATCAATGTATTAACTGCCTAACTAGGCAATGGACCTACCGTCTCAATGGGGCTGATCAAATAGATGGCTTCCAGACTGGGAAGGGGCTCTCGGCGCTTGTTTATATCTTCAATAACTGAAGAAAGTAAAATGTGTATTAGATGTCTGGATGGAAAGACAAAGAATTGGGCAACAATTCCTAGGGGTATGGAAGGAGGAAAAAAATGGTAAAAAGATATACATATTTGATTCTGACAGTATTAGAAGAAGCTGATTGTAGATTGATCTAAAGAAACCAGGGCCCAGCTGTACCTGGCTGGACACATTGGGTTGGAGAACTAAGACAAAGAGTTCTGCCACAAAAGATAGAAGTCTTTCCAGCTCTAGTGGAGGCCTCTGCTGACAGGATCAACCATAGACAAATAGTATCTTGCACATGCCACTCACTTGTGATTCCTTCAGCCAGAAGATCTGACATCTTAAAGCAGGAGGAAAGGATGCGGGTGCTGGATTGATCCATAATGAGGACCTTAAGGAACAGAGAGGGAAATAATATATATAAAGAAGCCATTTTTAAAGTTGAGCAAAGGTATAATTACAATGATTAGTTATGTCATAAAAAGGCATGGAACAATAGATAGCTGTACTCATGTTCCCAAGTACTTCCTTCTGTGTAATGAAATTATAACACCAAGGAATCCTATTCTCCTATTCAGTTCTATAGTGGCCTTCCCATTTTTCATTTCTACTCCCAAACATGTATAGATAATTGAAATATGCCCACATTTACATCCATTTCTTGCCCCCCACCTCCCCCCCAAGTCCTATTTCAGAATAAGCCAGAATAAGAGGTTTTTAGTTTGGGGAGCTGACCTTTGTTCTAAGGCATCTTTATCATTATGAATGGCTGGATCATAATACCACTTTGCTAATAAAGGGGTATGTAAGTCAGCATTCAATAGTCCAGTTCTAAGACTACTATAGAGAAGAGTTAGCATTTAAAACATTTTATTTGCATTGCAGAGAATCCTTTAAAACCTGTTATCTCATTGGTGTAACTTCTCTACAGAAAGGTAAAGGAACTGATACTTTAAGATCTGCTTTCTATCTTTAGCTAGTATTTTTTTGGCTAGTATAATGCAAAATTGGTCACAGCATTGGGGGTTCCGTGTGTGTGTGTGTGTGTGTGTGTGTGTGTGTGTGTGTAAACTATAGGTGTATAGTTTAAAGGGGCAACTATGTTTCAGAATATTCTGAGATGGAGAATATTTATTAACTTGACAGCAAATTGTAGGATAGATAATGAGATAATCAGCATAGCCACATAAGACACTTGCAAACCCAGTAGAGCAAAACTAATTTAATAACATCTTAGTCTGTCTCAGTTAGTAATTTCAAGGCTGACTTGCCACCTTGCTGCATCAGGAAAAGATATGAGAAGCGTGAAGAACCTTAAGTGTCACAGTGAAGGATACAGCAGGTCTCTGAACCCAAGGCCCAGAGTTTAATGTACAATGAATTAACTGCATCAGAGATTTTTTTTAAACACGTAAACAGAAAGTCAATGCAGATGCATACAATTTAATTAGTAAACTGATCAGGCAAATTTAACTCATCCAAGACACTGAGGTGTACTAACCTTCCATTCTCCTTCCTTCTTCATGCTGTGTATAACATCATTCAGAATCTCTGAAAAATGAAGTTCAATTAAGTTAGAATGGAGGCTTTTTTATTACAATGAGAATGATTAGCTGAGCCCTGTGCCAGACAAATAATTTTCTTATCATCCCAGTATAGCTTTTTGTTACAATAAGAAAGGTTGTTCTTGACCCCAATACAAGCCAAAATTACAAAGCTAGGGTAAAACAAACAAAAACCTTCACTGATAGTGAAAAGACTATAACGTAGTCAGATGAAATTTTCTTAGGAGGGTATTCCACAATATATTAATTTTATTATAATATCTAAAACATTTTAAAAACAGCCTTCCAAAATCTTAAAAACCAGAAATAGTAGGACTACTATTGGTCGTTTTGTCTCATGATGAAGAAAGGCTTTTCACAGCATGTTCTCGTCTCTAAATAGCAAAATGTTGCCATGGAATAATATTTCTGTCATCTGTATAAAATTCCTCAGGGCAACCTTGGGACACTCCACAATCAGGGTCCCATCACTGGGCATTCTACCCTCTTATTTCACACATTAGGGGGAAGCTTCTGAAGATCTTGAAGACCAGGTCAACATAGGAGGTGTGAAGTGCTGTCCAGGTTGTGTGTTTAAATAGTTGATTCCAGAGAGTTTGAGATTCATCTCAGAGATGCTGCTGTATGTCAGAAATCTGAACACTTGCTGCCGCTTCAGAACAAGAACGTCACGGATCTGCTGTGTGTGTTCTGTGATTTTACGAAGTCCTACAGTCTTGAAAGGTTTCCAGTGCATGTAAAAAGAGCATTTGTGACTCTTTCTGCTGCAGGTTCTAACTTTATATTTTAGGTAATTTTGCTACCTATAGTATTTCAGGTTTTCAACTGGTAACTACGAACTCTGCATTGGATTTTATTGGCGTTTATGTATGTTGTACATAAACAATGTTAGAGGTCTGATTCTGAGACCCCCACTTCTCCTTGAAAGGTGGGAGAGATAGGCAGGTCTTTTATAATACTGTTGCCTTATATGTGCTCGGCTAACATATTTCCAATGTAGGATTCATCTTATTTGGATGCTTGGTTGACTTTTCCCTGAATTCAGTTTGAAGGCTACTGTTATAAAAACTTCATTTAAAGCTGTTAATTTGAATTTAGACTACATTATGTGTGACTTTTAAAATATTGTGACCTAAGGAATCACAATATTGCTTCTTATAGCATTGTATTTTCAAGTCGGCAATAAAAATGGCAAATATTAATAAGAATCCAGAAGCTTTTAATCAGCCTTTCAGATATGTTAAAATTATAACTTCCAGATTTCTCCATCTCTGGCAGCAGAAAACAGGGCACTGACTTGTCCCAAATGACAGGGAAGTATGATCTTGCTTCTTCTGTAGAAAAAAAAGAGCATCAGCTCCCTATTGATTGTACATTTACTTAGAGAGGAGGTTAAATTCCAGGGATCCTGGTCCAGAGCTCATTTTCCCCTAGTCTTTCCATGAAAAGAAATAAGAGCCAAGATTTCTATTTTTAAAACTCATTCTGATCTCTAATTGACAAATGGCAGATGTCTCCCATGGATTAATTACAGAAAGCTGTTCTACAACAGTAACTATATACCAGCTTGAACCAATCTCTTGAGCTGTAATGTCCAAATACTTGATAATTATCTAAAAATTCAAACAGAAAATTGAGCTAGTAGTTAGGAATGAGATAAGTTGTCCTTCTTTACTAAAAATAGTGAATATATTTATAAAGTGCATGAATCCAAATGAAATTTGATGGAATTAATCTTCAGAAAGCAGCTCAATAGCAGTGATGTTGTTTTTTCTGAGTTTTGTTGTTATCTTAATTAATCACATAGGTTAATTAAATAATCTACCAGGCACTTAAAGTGCATAAATATTCAGATTGCCCCAGATGTTTGTCTGTCTGTCTGCTTCTCTCTCACACACACTTATTCTAACAGGACAAATAGAAATGTTAAAAAGAACTGGTAATACTGGTTTGGAAAGTTGCAGCAATAACCAGAGAATGTAAAACAAGCTGTAAACAGTAGTTGCTACAAGATAAACTGAAGGATTTTGATGCCTGACCTCTGACTGAGTATAGCAGGCTCCATATGCCATTTCCCCATACAAAGCAGTTACATGCAGAAAATCTTCAGATTTTTTTTAAAAAAACCCTAAAGCATAAATTTTCATAAATGTGTACCTGTACTACATAGTAAGTAACATACTGAACCTGGAACAAAGAAGTTTGGGTTGAATAATTAGCAAAATATTACAATAATTTATCTAGCCAGTGACTATTATAAAGCAGAAGATAAAATGCTTTCATCAAGTGCCTAAATTATCATAAGTTTACTTACTGTCTTAAGTACTGATTGACTCCCAATCAATGGTAGGAAAGATCTCATGATTAAAATACAGTACAGGTTTTATGACCAGGCATTTTATCACTGCTTTCCAGTTCCAGTTATAGTCTGAAGTTGAGGATTACCTGTACTGGTAGGCTATACTTTATTCAAAAGAAACAGGCCCAACAAATTGAGAGCTGGAGCTTCATTATATGTAGATAATGAAAGGATGAAAACCCCGATGAAAGTGCCTGGGTGAATATTAAGAAGAAAGAAAAAAAAAATAACAGTACAGGTGTGGGCTTCAGGTGACTCAAGAAGAAGATACACATAAAGTGTTCGCAGATGAGATGGCAAGTTATCTACGAAATGCATCACTTTGAGAATAGGGGAATTCAATTTCTCTGACATGAAATTCCCATTGAATTTCTTTGTGGGATGCTGGCAGGGAGCATCGAAAATCTTTCTTCCTCCCTTGAATTCTGTTGGCTTTCCCATTTACTGTATATGTGGGAAGCTTGCAGGGAGAAAGTCAGTTTCAACCCAGGCAAATTGCAAGTCAATCTACAGTACCAGATATTGGAAGAGGGGTTAAAATACTGTTAAAATTCATGAGTAAGCATTACAGGTAATCATTGATATATGACCATTTGTTTAGGGTCTGTTCAAAGTTAGGACAGCACTGAAAAAAGTAACTTATGACTAGTTCTCGCACTTATGATTTGGTCACTTGGCAACTGGCATATGTTTATGACAGTTCCAGAATTCTGGAGTCATATGATTGTCAATTGCGCTTTTCTCAGCCAGCTTCTGACAGACAAAGTCAAAAGGGAAGCTGGATTTGTTTAATGATCGTGGCAAATAAGTTTGTGAAATAGGTGTAACTCACTTAACAACCACCTTGCTTAGCAATGGAAGTTCTGCTCCCAGTTGTGGTTGTAAGTTAAGGACCATCTATACATATTAAATTGCTACTTCCTAACGTGATTCTTTTACATGTGAGTGGAAAGATTTTGTAAAGCTCCTCAAAGCATATTATTAGTTTCTTCATTGCTATAACCATGTAGTTCCAGATCACTTACATCTCAGGTCTGGCAACTCTAAAGGAAAAGGATCCCTGACTAGGTATAGTTATTTTCTAAAACAAGTATTCCATTCAAGACTGTGTCCTACTTGCTAGTCTTTCTTGCTGGACAGGCTCAAGAATAATGTGATTCTAGGGTGTGTAGACTGAGAGGGATTCTGTGAGAGAAGACTGAAATTCTCAATTTTTCACACTACAAGCTTGCCTCCTGTCAGCCTATAAAGTAAACCAGACACTAAGAAACAGACACTGTGGGCCTAAAGCTATTGCTAGAATAGTAACAGAGATCTGCGAGTCTGAATGTGCTCGTTTATCTTCATGTGAAATAGGGTGGTCCTGTATCAGGGGTGGGTTCCTACCGGTTCTTGCGGACCGGTTGGTCGGTGAATAGAGCCATAGGTGGCGCAGTGGTTAAATGCAGCACTGCAGGCTACTGCTAGATCAGCAGGTCAGCGGTTCAAATCTCACCGGCTCAGGGTTGACTCA